AAAGGTGTTAAATAATATGGGTAAAGAGGATATTATGGTAATTTTTGTTGGTAAAATCTAAACATTCGCCAAATCCGTCCCAAACCCCCCAAATTGGGGGGATTGGAAATCTGCAGTTGCAAGGGGTTGTTGAGGGATCCAAACCTCCTCCATCTTCTTCCCCTTCTTGCTCTTTGTATATCCAAACATAAGGAAGGAGACAGCCTCCCCTCCCTCTCCCTCAATTACCATCCGTCCCCTTCACTCCCCATCCCTCTCCGTTGGTCTCCCTCAATCCAAACAGGGTGTAAGCAAGCACCTAACCCTAAACAGAGGCAGAGAGGTTATTTCCTTTGACAGAGAAAGAGGGGAAGAGAAAAATGATGGATGCCATGCGGAAGCAGCTCGATGCGCTGATGGGCACGGACCGCAATGGCGATGTAAGGGAGGTGAATCGGAAGTACTACGATTGCGATGTCTGCCGCCTTTACTTGTCCGGCCTTTGCTCTCACGAGCTCTTCCAATTAACGGTATTCTCGTCATTGATTCGTTAATCCGTTTCGATAATTAATTGTTAGTGGTTGATATCCATTTTCTTTCCCTTTGAACCCTGCTTTATGTTTTCGAAGTGATTGTATGTGTTTGGTTTCTGGGAAAACTTGGGGTTTTAGAAGCAGTAGAAGGTTTTTGGGATGGGGTGGGGCCAAGGTAGAAGCCTAGAAGGGAAAGTGACAGATATACACCATCTGGTTTTTAGAATGTAGCCACAGTTAAGTTGTTGTAAGTTGTAACTCCTAATTTGGAAACCAATGGCTAAGTTTATTTTATATTTATTTTCCTTTTAAATCTTTGCTTCTGTTATATAAACCAATAAATAACTGATGGATGCAAGTGAGTTCATTTGTTTTTATTTATTAAAAATGTGATTCTTTGAGGGAGAGACGAATGTGCCAAGGAATCAGAGCTAAGGGTGAATTACATGTATTTAGTAAGACTAATACTACAAGCATTTTGAAAGTGGTTTATAGTAATGAATTACATGGTCTCCCCATATAGATGCTACTTGTGTGTTGTGTGGGGCTGAAAATGAGACTAGAGACCATTTGTTCTTCTCATGCTCCTACTCTAGGACTGTTTGGGATGTTATTTCCTCCATGTTAGAAATTCCATCCCACATTCTCTTGGCAATCTGCTTTGTCTTGGTTGTGTCACAAGGCCAAGTGGAAATCATTATACAGCAGTCTTATAAGATTAGCATGGTGTGCAGCAATATACCATATTTGGATACAGAGGAATACTAGAATTCACAAACGGACATTCAAAAGTGAGTTTGCAATTGTAAGTAAGATACAAATAGATGTCCGTGACAAGGTACTTAGTTTTGCTAGAGCAAAATCTTCCCTTATACCTAAGAGTATTGCTTCAAAATGGGGATTAGAAGTTTTGTGTAGAGACTGATATTCCATTTTTGTATAGTTAATTCATTCTTTGTATGTGAATATTGGTAGCAGCCTGTATTATAAAGAGCTGCTTTGTGTATAGTAGAAGTTTTGATAATAAAATTCACATTTTACCAAAAAAAAAAAAAACAAGAGAAAAGAAGGGTATGTATATGGAAAATTCTGCCAATTAGGGAGGAGTTTAGAAAGTGCACATGGAATTAAATTCGGGATGGCATGCAGAGTTGCAGACTTTATTGATTGGTTTGGTGGATGGGAGGTTGTAGTCTGTCTGAACCAATGGAGGGTGTAGACTTGAGTATTTGAGGTTGTAATTGTTTTGTACATAGTTGGAGACAACAGAGGGAAGGGGTATGCATGCTTGGAAGTCATAAGTATGTTTTTAACTTGTTATTGGC